AAGTCATCCCGTGTAAGGTCAGCGAGCAGACCCCCACGGATTCCAGCTTGAACTCGACATCGACCTCTGACACGGCCGCCTCCTTCCTGCTCTTGGCTGCCGCGGGTGGTTGAAGCTGTGGCTCTTCCAGCCCTGGATCGTCTCACTCGGTCTCTAGTGGGCCATTCCCATCTGTACCGGGTCGGCCTGGGCCGGGTAGCCCCAGTCGGCCCCAGCCTGGCCCGGTTAGCCCCATTCCCATCTGTACCGGGTCGGCCCGGGCCTGGTAGCGTAGGTTGTTTACATATCTGGGTGGCCTGGTATTTTTCCGGGCCAACCAAGGCTCATTCTCGGCCCTCTTCCCGAGGGGTACTGCTTCAGGCCGACCAGGGCCAACACACCCACTGCTGACAGCAATTCACACCTTCCATTAGAGAAAGCCTCTGATTGGTGGGTAGAATCAGCCCACATGGGCTTAAGACAAGGATGTGTGGAATCAACCGGGCCAGGCTGGGGCCGACTGGGGCTACCCGGCCCGGGCCAACCCGGTACAGATGGGAATGGCCCAGTTGATTCCACACATCCTTGCCTTAAGCCCATGTGGGCTGATTCTACCCACCAATCAGAGGCTTGCTCTAATGGAAGGTGTGAATTTGCTGTCAGCAGTGGGTGTGTTGGCCCTGGTCGGCCTGAAGCAGACCCCCTCGAGAAGAGGGCTGAGAATGAGCCTTGGTTGGCCCGGAAAAATACCAGGCCACCCAGATATGTAAACAACCTACGCTACCCGGCCCGGGCCGACCCGGTACAGATGGGAATGGCCCATAGGTGCACCCCTCATCCTGGATCTTGGTCGGGATGGACCGGGCACGGGCTTGTAGTCCGTATCGGAACCAACAAGACTTTCCTCAGGAAAGCTCTAAACCAATCAGCAAAACACTATAACTTATACGCTAATTGATAGCTTTTTTTGTAATGCTATAGTTAGCTATGAAGATGCTCGTAATGCTACATGGAGAATCCGACATTGTGGGAAAAAAAGAATTGCTTGTAAACAGAGCGTGCACGAGCACGCTCCACGGACTGGTAGAGGGGTGCGCATGCGCATTTCACAGAACGTTGAGTGGGTGTTTCTTCAGAAACATCGATTGCTACACCTTTAAGTCTACTAAGCAGGGGTGTAGAAGGTTTTTAATAGCAGTTCAGAGCAGAGTGCATCAAATAAAACAATGTTAACATAAAGGTGAGATGTGTCATAACCCCCCCCCCCCCCACCCCCCCCACCCCCCCACCACCACCACAGCTGGAAAAATTCCTAGGGGAAACACTGATTTCCCATTTAAGATGGACAGATAGGTGTTGTAAAGACACATATTTGATAGCAAAAAGAAGTTCCTGCAATCCAAATGATCACCAGAGCCTGTCCTTTCTGAGACACGAGGGTGTTTGAGTCAATCGAATGCCGTCTGACATCCAGTAAGGAGTTTAGCCACATTTGAGGCATCCAAGGTTTTACTTTTAGCCAAAACCTTGAGCAAGTTTCATTGCTGCAGGCTATCTCAACTCACAGGTAAGTTTCAGTAAAGATTACAGTCAAAATCTCCTTGATAAAAGAACAACTTCATCGTCTTTCATCTGTGCCCAGTAGATTGTGACCTACAGGTGTCAAAATGAAGGTTGGAAATCTAGTCAGCCTGAAACAATCAACACAACAAAACTCTGAGTTTCAGCAAAGCATGTTTACCTTCAAACATCATCGCCATCGTCTATCAGGCGCTGAGCTAAGAGGAATACTTTAACACAGTTACATTTAGTCTCTCGTAAAAACAAAAATTAATGTGCTAAAATTATTTTATATATACATATATATGTGCCATAAAATGCCAAGGTTGCATTGTTTCTGCTCCACGGGTAACATTTACTGTAATGTTTTTTTTTTTTTTTTTTAACTAGGACAGTCTGGAAGATGTGGTGCACCTACCCTGAAACGTATGAATGTACTGCCCTCTAGTGGCGGAAAACTGCTCACTGCAACTTTAAGTACAAGAGCTTTTTAGAATGATAAAGGCCAGCAGTCATGTGAATGCAGAGCTGATCCTTAGTTTGCATGAAGCTGAACAACCACGCCAGGACATGGCATCCCGGTATCCTGTTCTGATCTGTGAAGCACCAACAGGACCAACGCGTTCTTTTGCTGAAGATGAATGTGATTGATTTATGAGCATGCTCAGCTGAACGTGATTGGTTAAACAGTGGATGTCTTCGCCACAGCCATAGCTGCGTGTCCTATTGCATGTCAGATATGTATATATATATATATATATATATATATATATATATATATATATATATATATATATATATATATATATATATATATATGTGTGTGTGTATGTATGTATATATACATGGCAGGGGTGAGGAGTGAGCACCACCTTACCCCTGCCACGTGGACCTCAATGGATAAACCATCAATCCTGCTCAATGGTCAGCTTTCCTCACGGGGTCACCCCCATTGGGACAGTGAGAGGATTAAGATTCCTGCTCCAACACATATGATTTGAAGCTGCTGAACAGGCGATTCAACCACTGAACCAGGTGTACTGGAGCAGAGAAACAACTGAAACATGCTGAATAGAGGATCTGGAGCACCAGGGTTGGAAAGCCTGCTGTAGGTGAAGTTTCTTTCTCTGTGATAATCTTAGCAGATGCAATATATTTTGGTCGAGCGGTGTTGCCGTAGCACGATTACTTCATCGGCAGGCACAAGCCCCCAAGCAGATGCGGAAAGTGTTTCCCCCTCACAAAGCCATAATATGGAATAATGAAAGCATTACTGTAAAAGAAGTCCATATTTAAACAGAAATGGGTCTACAATATTATTTTTGTAAGTGACCTTTTTGATTGCCATGGCACAATTCTTAGTTAGGAATGTTTCTTTCTACTTAAATCCTTCCCCATTACAAGTAAAGAAATCAATTACGTCACTAAAGCGACCCCTAACAGCCTTTCTGTTCTGGTAAAAAGCCATTTTCAACCTCAAGAAACTTTAAGAATTAAAGCCCATCTAATGATAAACTGACTTGCTATAACAGACTCTAAATGTAACAACAAACATATTCGTAATACTTTTAAAGAAAAGAGGAAAATAAATCCATGTGGAAAAGCCTTCTGGGACAATATCTTTAGAGACATTGACTGGAAAAAGCCGTGGATGTTACCTCATAAGATTTGTTTGTCCAACAAAATAAAAGCGATAGGCCTACATATGAAAATTTTACACACTACATATCCCACGAATGTTAATTTTTCTAAATTCCCAGATATTGATAGTAAATGTAGTTTTTGCCATATTGAACCAGAAACCTTAACTCGTTTATTCTTCTACTGTGACCACTCTACTAATTTTTTACTCAACTTAAACATTATACAGCACGCAAAATTAATATTTTAATTAATCGTCAAAATGTTGCTTTATATTTTTTTCCATGAAAATAAAGACGTCACGTTCATTACCTATTTACTAATTTTACATGGAAGTTTGTACACGCATAAATGCAAATACTCCAAAGTTCCCCCCAACTTTAAAAACGTCCTACGAGTTTAATGAATACATGAAATCCATCAAACTGATCATCACCCAAAAAAGCATTGCAACTATTAATATACATGAGAACTTTTTCAAGGAACGATAAGACACTCTTATTCTTGATTTTTGTGCATTTATATTGTCAAATTTCCTCCTTATTTTTTGTATTAATCTACTTTTACCTACAAGTTATTTTCTTATTTCTACGTATGCATACACACACGTGTATTACTATGTAAAGAAGATCACATGCATGTTGAAGTTGTCTTTGTTCTCTGTATTTAAACTTGTGTGCAACTTTGTTTGAAATTAAGTTTTGTGGGGAAAAAAAAGATCTTGAAAGTACAACACCTGAAAACAACAATCAGCATTGCATTCTCTTATGGAATTACCTGAAGAACCATCAAAGTCTGAAGAGTCATGCCAAGGTTGCGTTGTTTCTGCTCCACGGGTAACATTTACTGTGTTTTTTTTTTTATTTTTTTATTTTTTTTAACTAGGACAGTCTGGAAGATGTGGTGCACCTACCCTGAAACGTATGAATGTACTGCCCTCTAGTGGCTTAAAACTGCTCACTGCAACTTTAAGTACAAGAGCTTTTTAGAATGATAAAGGCCAGCAGTCATGTGAATGCAGAGCTGATCCTTAGTTTGCATGAAGCTGAACAACCACGCCAGGACATGGCATCCCGGTATCCTGTTCTGATCTGTGAAGCACCAACAGGACCAACGCGTTCTTTTGCTGAAGATGAATGTGATTGATTTATGAGCATGCTCAGCTGAACGTGATTGGTTAAACAGTGGATGTCTTCGCCACAGCCATAGCTGCGTGTCCTGTTGCATGTCAGACACCTTGTAACATATGCAGCCCCACCCAGCTGATAGGGTGAGGCAGAGCCAGGAAGTGCAACAGCAGCAGGAATTTCTGTAGGAATAAACAGAGACGTTAGCATCACAACAGCCCAGCTACGATTGTAATATGGATCTGAGCGGTCCGGCTGATGCACCGCTCTCTTCCTGCTGCCCTCTGTTACCCAGCTGGTCAATGATGGAGGGCTAGTCTGATCCAGACCAAAAACTTGTGTACATCTGTGAATATGTGTTAATGTTTCAGTCTGAGTGAACTCAGGCCACACGAGAAGATATGTGTGACACTTCCACATTTGGTCAGAAGACAACCTGGATTAGAAGAGCTAAATCAGACAAAAGGGTAAAAAGGATGAAAAATGATACAACATCAAAGAATTTTAACGGTACGGAGAATAAGGGCAGCCTGAGAAAAACAAGAAGAGAAGACGGATAAAAAGAGGTTGTTTATCCTCCGATCACAGCTCAACCACGGGAAGCGTCACAACGAAACATGAAGGACCAGAAAGGATCTGGACTAGAGAAGGAAAAATCAACATATCGAGATGCAAAAAAGGAGAAATGAAAAGGAAAAATTTGCAAACGTTCCATCTTCTATCAACAAACATCCTTTTATTTTTGTTTCGACAATATTCAATAAATACAAACCTGCTTTTATAGTTCACAAAGATGAAAAATGATCGTAAAAAAATGCTAATAAATCACAACCCAAACAGGACGGGACGTTTCAAAGTCCTCTCCCATGTGTGAGCTGCAGGCTGGCTGAAGAGACAGGGAGAAATGCATCCTAATCGTTATCAAAAAATAAAATCACACACATAGAAACCTGCATCGCTCCAGACAGGAGCAGCCCTCAATGTGTCCGTTTGAGGCTGTGCTTCAAAAAGAAGCTCTGTCACTCCCCAATCACTTCATCTTTCCAACAATTGCTGCTCAAACTCTAGATTTCAGTCCTTTTGGCTGCTTTTGTGGATTTCCAGCATCCCGTTGAGCTTCTGTGACGTTCTGAGCACCGATAAATCCCATCGAATGCTGAAAGTAGCAGAAGAGTCTTCCATTTCCTTCGTGACTCCCCGTCTGTGTTTCACTCTCCTCATTACATTCTTGAAGCTGATAATCGTGTGGGTTGTGGTGGGGGTCGGGGATGTAGTGTGCAGTTTTGAGATCACATCTGCGCGGTTTGGTGAGGAAGGAGCTGATTGGCCAAGGAAGGGGTGAGGGGGAGGTGTCTCAGGAGTGAGAGCGTTCCGAGGCATCAGGGCCTCCATGACCTTTGCCTTTGCTTGTCTGGTGTGTTTGTCATCTGGCCATCTTCCTCTTTGGTTCCTAATGATGACATCAACAATCATCAGAATCGTGTTTTCAAACTGCAGACCTTAAGGTAGCTTCGTCATGACTTTAATGCACAAACGGAGTTTTAGGCCTTTGGTTGCTCTAGCTCAGGTCTTTTTAATGCATTTCAGTGGATGGGTCATATTATTGCTGCTCATTGAACAACCTCAGTTTAAAGGAACATAAATGACTTCCAACTGGACAGACAAGCTAACCACTAGTATGAGTGGGGCCGGTTACACAGTGAGTCTGGTGTCTGACAACAGCTCAAACCGTAAAACATTCATAGCAGCTGATGAGACTTTAAAGATATTGGCCAGACTTGGCATTAAAATAGTAGAAATTCAGTATAATTACACTTTATACCATCTATATAAATATGAGCTGGGTTCAGTTGTTCATTTTGTCAAGGACTTTTGTCATAAATCATTACAGAAAATCTAAATCCTCTCCTCCAGACAGTGAAGAACTGAGTTCCACATACGTCACTCCAACACATAAAACAAGGCTGCTGCTGCTAGTATTGTGAAAAGCTGTATTTTTTACTTCCATGCTCTTGATTATTACAGGAAATTGCGTTTACAGCTGCAGCAAAAGGTCTGGGCCACATGTTTGTGTCCTACACTCATTTTTAAATAACATAAGTCTGATCTAAAATAATAACCTACATCTATAAATCCATCTGGAACCGCACCGGTGCTTCTGGACTCCAGAGTCCCGTTAGCATGACTGCAGCAACACTGCTAACTGTGTTAGCTCCGGTAAGGATTTAACAAGTCATTTGGGAAAGCTACGACACACACACACACACACACACACACACACACACACACACACACACACGCGCACACACACACACACACACACACACACACACACACACACACACACACACACACACGCGCACACACACACACACACACACACACACACACACACACACACACACACACACACAGACACACACACACACAGACACACACACAGACACACACACACACAGACACACACACAGACACACACACACACAGACACACACACAGACACACACACACACACACACACACACAGACACACAGATAAATTCTAAAAGATGATCTTCATATTGCAACAATAGATCCTCCTGGGACCGGTAGAACCTCCATGCCATCCTGGATTAGTGCAAACAACGAGCCGAGCTAGCGAGTTACTTCCTCATCAGGAAGATTTATTCTGATAAATTATTGGTTAAATATTTTCTGCGGTAAAGCTGGTAGCACATTATTTTATTTATCTGTAGATGACTGAATATTATTGAGACAGATGTTGGAGCTAAGACCTGCTGAGAACACGTCAGCTTCCCGGTGGAGCACAAAAATGAAAAATGAAATATAGAAGTCCACACTGTCTCTGCACGAATATCAAACTGTCTCTCTGACATATCACAACGGATGAAATCCCACCATCTCCAACTCAACCTCTCTAAAACGGAACTACTTGTCATCCCAGCTAAACCATCCATACAGCACAATATCTCAATCCAAAACGACTTCCTATCTCTGGCTCCTTCAAAGGCAGTTCGAAATCTGGGTGTTGTGATTGATGAACACCTGACCTTTAAAGATCATGTTGCCTCTGTTGCTCGTTCATGCCGCTTTACGCTGTAAAACATACGAAAGATCTGACCATACCTAACACAACGTGCCACCCAGCTCCTGGTGCAATCTACTGTCATCTCCCGCCTCGATTACTGCAACACCCTTCTAACTGGTCTTCCAGCCTGTACTGTGGGACCTCTTCAAATGGTCCAGAACGCAGCGGCGTGTCTGGTCTTCAATCAGCCAAAAAGATCACATGTCACCCCTCTGTTCATTGAGCTCCTCTGGCTAGCTGCACGCATCAAATTCAAATTGCTAACACTAGCATACAAAGTCCGAGACGGTACGGCTCCCATCTACCTGAATCCTCTTGCCAAGGCTTACGTCTCGGCCCGGCCGCTCCGGTCATCACAGGATCGTTGGCTAGCAGTGCCTACACCACGCTCAGGACAATCCAGACTCTTCTGATGCATCGTTCCACAAATGTGGAATGACCTACCAAGCACTACCAGAACAGGGGCTTCCTTTTCAATTTTCAAGAAACTCCTGAAGACCCTGCTCTTCAGAGAGCATCTTCTAAACTAGCACCTTCCCTTCACCCATCCCCCCTCTCTACCATCCACTCCTTGTTTCCTACTCTCCATGATTGATGTCAAGTTGTTGTTGTTGTTGTTGTTAGCCTCAAGGGCAACATGCCGATTATCACTTGTAAGTCGCTTTGGACAAAAGCGTCTGTTAAATACATAAACATGAACATAAAAGTAAGCAAACTGCATCGATTTTGTTTCTGAAGATGAACAGAACCCTCCCAGTGTTCAAATCAGGTTTCAGATCCTCTGAGTCAAACAGTCCAAAACATGTCTGCACCTCCGGTAGTGATATTCGGCTAGCGAGGTCGGAGTCTGGTTCCGGTAATCCAATATCCATTCTTGGTCAAAGATGGGTTGAAATGCAATGTGTTGGTGGGGCTGGCTAACAAGGCTTGGTACCGTCTCCCTGGGTCTGCTGCTCCACCACGGCCAAGGCCCTGACCACTACGGAGGAGTGGAGTGTGGGCTCATGCGGCCTGAGCGCCCGGCTCTGATCGCTGCAGTCTGAGGCCTGTGGAGCTCTCTGAGGGAGACCACAGAAGCTCCGCAGCTCTGTGAGCTGATTTATGCTTCACAGTCACGTTTTTCTGGCTAAAAGCACCCGCAAACCTTTGTTAGCTTTGTTAAGCTCAGTGAGCTTGTAGCTGGGAGGGTAGTGGCTGACACATCCTCAGAGCCTTGCTATCAGCTCCAGCTCTTCACCCATTTATGTATTGTCCAGGAGTGTCGAGACGTGTGACACAGCCAAGATGGTGGCAATCGGAACTGCCCACTGGGCTTCAAATCTGATCCTCAGAGGGTTTTTTTCCATATTTTTTTAAGTCACCGGTCAGAGCACAAACAAAGCATAAAGTCAAAGGAAGTATCTGTAGATTTTAGAGGCAGAAATCTGGGCAGGTTACAGAAAGGTTGAAGGTCCCAAAAAGCACTGTGACCTCCATCATCTGTATGTGGAAGAAACTAACAGGGCTTGTCCTAGAGCTGACCGACTGTCTAAACTGTGTGACTGGAGTTAGGGTTAGGCTTAGCTCCAGCGTTCCTCTGTGGAGAGAGGAGAATCTTCCAGAAAGACAACCATCTCTGCAGCAATCAACCAACAGGGCCTGTGGGGTAGAGCAGCCAGACGGAAGCCGCTCCTAAGTAATAGGCACACGGCAGCCTGCCTGGAGTTCTCCAAAGGGGACTTGAAGGACTCTCAGACAATGACAAACAAGATTCTCTGGTCTGATGACACAAAGATGAAATGCTTTGGTGAGAATTACAGGCGTCACGTTTGGAGGAAACTGGCCAATGCCATCTCTACCGTTAAACATGCTGTGGGACGTTTTTCTCCGTCGACTAGTTAGGATAGATGGAAAGATGAATGCAGCAATGTACGGAGACATCCTGGCGACTCGGGACTTTTCATCATTCAGCAGGACAACAACCAAAAGCACATGACCAACAGCAGCTTCAGGACACCACTGTGAATAACTTTGAGTGTCCCACACAAAGATCAGAAGTGTGTGATAACAGGAATTGGCCAAACTGCCCAAAGGCCAGTGTGTTTAGCTCGTGGCATCGCATTCAACAAGACTCGAGGCTGTATTCACTGCCGAAGGTCCGCCACAAAGCATTGAGCAAGGGCTGTGACTATGAACGTGATTCTCAGATCTTTTTTATTTCTAATAAAACTAAAACTGAGTCAAGATGGCTGAGTGTGAATGTTAAGAGATCTGTCAGGCTTTTCAAATCCTAGAGTTTCACCATCTTATTTTCTACCAGAAGCTACTGCAGCAGATAGGTGTAGGAGACTATTTCCATGTTCAGCCTGCAAGAAAAACTCAGAGTGACTGATTCTAATCAGAAATAAGATTTGAAAAATGCTTTTTCAGCATTCCACACATTCGATTGCTCATAATCTTTTCACAGAATTCCACATCTAAAAAGATCTGCTGTGCAAAGCGCTTAATAAAACGTCCCATGTGTACGTGTGACCACTGCTCACCAGCACATTCAGGACAGCAGGAATTCTCCGTACGCGTTATGTTTGAGCAGGCCAGGACTGGACACTGCTTCCTCTGACATTTGGTCACCCCGTGCTGTGGAGAAGAAGAGCAGGAGGCTGAGGGTCAAGCTTGGTTTATGCTTGACGCGTTCACTTTCCGCTTGGTGATGCGGCTCGCGGATGGAACGCGCTTCACAACTCGCAGCGTTTATGGTTCGTGCGGCTCGTCTCTGCGGTGATCCAATATTCTCCCAAACTGTAGGGGGCAGCATGGAGCCCTACAGCATGCATCCAACACTACACCATAGTAGAAGTAGAAATTACTGTTGTTTACAACATGGCATTTCAGCATTTTTAACAGCGTTCTCGTCTTTTCCGACAGTGCGAGCTATTTCTCTCCAAGAATTATTAACAACACGTTGATCACGGTGATCTTTGAGAGCTGAATCATACAAATGTCTGTATTTACGAAGCTCTGCCTTACTAGTTCTTGCCGGTCCGCCATGTTTTTCCGCGTCTGACCGTCCGCGTGGTTAGAAATGTTCCTATGTGCGCGTTGCGGAAATTTTGGGCCGTGCGGAGACGCGGTGGAGGGGCGTGGTTGTTAAAATGACGCAATTTCGCCGCGCGGACCTCGCTGACGCGTCAAGCATAAACCAACCTTTAGAAGAAACAGAGACACTAAAGGTTGGTTTAGGCTTGACGCGCCCACGAGGATCGCACGGCTCCGTGCGGCAAAATTGCGTAATTTTAACAACCATGCCCAACCGAGCTCCATGCTGCCCCCTACAGTTTGGGAGAATATTGGCTCACCGCAGAGACAAGCCGCATGAACCATAAACGCTGCAAGTTGTGAAGCGCGTTCCATCCGCGAGCCGCATCACCAAGCGGAAAGTAAATGCGTCAAGCATAAACCAAGCTTAAGTGTGTACAGATCCTAGAGACACTTACATCGCACCAGCAGTTGATGCACTTCATCTCTCCCACCAGAGGAACCCAAGGATGCCAGCTGTCACTGTTCTGGTAATAGTTCTTGCCAAATTTGCAGTGTCGCGGCCCGTCTGCCTGCATCATGTCACTGTGCTGCAGGCCTGCAGGCGTCCTCTCCTCCTCTGGACACTCCTTACAGCAGTCAGAGGGACTCCGTCTCACAGGGTGGCTGCAGGTCAGCACAGGACACGTCACCTTCTCACAGTGCACCTCCCCTGTAGATCCCTGGATGAAGAAGAAAATAACAACTGATTAGCAACTTGACACAGTGCTTGGATCGGTCTTAAAGAACAGATTACTGCTCCTGTTGTATGTGTTTAGAGTCTAAAAGCGCAGAGGAAAAGCAGCCAGGTGTGAGCAGGTTTATGATTGTTTGTTTACCTTACAGGTGCAGACAGCACATTTAATGTAGCCGAAAGGAGGAACAAAGGGATGCCATGTGGTTCCTGGGGCGTGCATCTTCTGGTCTCCTTCAAAGTAGCACCCTAAGAGGCAGGAGAAGGAGGTTATGGAGGACATTAAGGTCATTATGTGAATGAAACTCAGCCAGAAGAAAGAAAGCATTTACAGTTTTTTACAGACGTTAGGACCCATTTCTCAATACTAATGTCACTTTTGCTAGACACTCCACACAGTTCTCCTAACTGAGTTTCAGCTTGGCAAAACAGTTCATTTCACATTCAAAATGCACTACAACCACCAAAACACTTCATTCAGCTCTCAAATAAACTCATTCCTCCATAACACTAGCAAAGGTTGACAGCCGACAAACACACTTTGTCACCCACAAAACAAAGACCTAAAAAACACTAACAACATGTAGCATTACATGTTCTTGTGTAAAACAAGAACACATCTCTGTTCATACTTCCAATAGATGTTACTGGAATGAATCAGACATGATGCAGAATTAGTCAATATTTCATGCTGTTCATTTATGTTTAATGATATTTGTTTTTGCACTAAGTACTTCCAAAACACAAGACTTCCACTGATACAGATTCAATATGCTACTCTACTTGGTCTTCTCCATTTGGCCACAGGTTCTCATCCACATCACATCTTGTGTCATCTAGGGCAATACCCCTAGGAAAGAATCTTCTGGCATGCCTGATCCATCCCTGGATATCTACTGCTGGTATGTCCAGGCCTCCAGCGTACATTGCATCCAGAAGGGACATTTGATCATGTGGATGATGGTCGTACACCTTCCACCGCCATGAGGCAAAGAATTCCTCTATGGCACATATGTCAGAGTCAAGGCCCGCGGGCCAGATGCGGCCCGCGGAGCATTTTTATGTGGCCCGCGAGATAAATATCAAAAATATATTAAAACTGGCCCGCTGGCCGATTTTACCGCAAAGATTACAACTCCCATGATGCTTTGCGGCGCCAGCGCGGAGGCGACGCGCCCCCTCCTTTGTGTTTTTTCAGCGCCGAGGCAGTCAGAGGTAGTTGGGTGTCTGCAGCTCCGCTGTCTCGGACAAACTAAACACTCCTCTCACTCAGCACCGAGTTCACTCAGCTGTTTTCTGACATTGAAGCCCAGAAACGGAGATTCTAGCTGCTCAGTAATGTGTTCACGACTTAAAGAGGAAGTTTTCAAACTAACGTCCAGACAGAGCTGATATAACTCCAGCGAGCAGCGACACGCTCAAACCAGCACGACTCTGTGGCTGCTGTCGTGTTTCCTCCCCGACACACAACAACGTGGTCAAGCTGCTCAGACATGTTCATCAGCACAAACCCATGTGAGCACCTGTTGTCATCTAATGTTGTCGTTATTATGATGAAGATGAACAAAACAACAGGAGTCTCCTCCTCAGCTCAGATCAACCCCATGATGCAGGCATCTGGCTGGAACAGGTGAGCATCACAGTAAACCAGTGGAGCAAACTGAGCTTTAAATATGTTGGTTTTATGCTCTTTTTCTGCTCCAAAACATGAAAGTTAACAGGTGAGATGTTGCATTTTCATTTAAGATAAAATGATATTTTTATTTTGTTGTTGGCACGTGAGAAAAGATTTAACCTACAGTAAACAGGAAGTGGAAAGGCTGCAGATAGAGATGAATAGAATAGAAAATCCCTTTATTGTTCCTCAGTGGGGAAAGCTAGACGTCACAGCAGCGATGACACTTATTACAGGAGAAAAAGGGAGAATAAAAAATAAGAAAAATGAATAAACAAGAAAACATAAATCCTGAATAGATTTTAAAAATGCTGATTATACCACAAGTAATGAATACCACTGATGCCTTTTATTTAAAACTGACTTGCTCGTGTGTAATTTGGTTATTCCACATTCAGTGTTAATGCAGAAATATGTTTGTTTCCAAATTTAAAGGTTCAAAATTGCATATATGTTGATAAAGAAAATGTGCAAATTTGCCGTCACTTTTTCAAAAAATATTAAGTTTGGCCCTCGACTCCGTCCCAGAGTTTCATTTCGGCCCCTTGTGAGTTTGAGTTTGACACCCCTGCTCTATGGGGTTGAGGAATGGAGAGTAAGGTGGGAGGAAAAGTGACTCCATTCTGGGATGGGCCACAAACCACTCTGTGACTGCATGGGAGTGGTGAAATGCCACATTGTCCCATACAATTATATATGTTGGCGTTGACTACTTTTATAATGACATTGAAAGTGTAACACCTGTGCAGCTGTTCATCTACAATTAGAGTCAGCTGTGGCTGGTTAAACTGCATTTATGTTTCAATAACATATTGCTGTTGGATTTTACTGTCACATTCAGTTTTGCAGTGTTATTGTTTTGAACATAAGTTTTGTGAACAGTATGTGAGCAAGTGCAACATGTCCTGTTAGTACAATGATTTTTGGCAGTTGTTGTGTCTGAGTGAGAAGGGACGTCATGACATTTGAGAGATGTAGTCTGTAGAGATGTTAATAACATAATTCAGTCAGCATACTTCCATCTACGTTCCATAAACCGTCTCCGCCCCTCCCTTACCCCTCACACTGCCGCCATTCTCCTCCACAGCCTCGTCACCTCCCGTCTCGACTATTGCAGTTCACTTCTTTATGGTCTCCCCAAAAAACTCCTTCATAAACTGCAACTGGTCCAGAACTCAGCAGCCCGTATTATCACCAGAACCCCTTCCTTTCACCACATCACCCCGGTTCTCCAGCAGCTTCACTGGCTCCCAGTTAAATTCAGGTCCATCTTCAAAATTCTCCTCCATACCTTCAAAGCAATCCACAACCTCTCTCCTCCATATATCTCAGACCTTAGAAGTATTCACACCCCATCCCGTTCTCTCAGATCTTCTTCTTCCATCCATCTTGCGGTTCGTTCTGCCCGTCTCGCTAACAAGAGGAGCAGAGCTTTCAGCCGCTCTGCTCCTCGTCTCTGGAACTCACTTCCCCCAGGCATCAGGAACATCGACAGTTTTACCCTTTTCAAAACCAAACTCAAAACACACATGTTTAAATCTGCCTATGACCTCTGATTTTATTGAACTGTTTCTCTCTTTGTTTTTCTTGTTTGCGTTTTATTATTGTTTTATTGTATTTCATTAAGTATTTTCTGTCAAGTGACCTTGGGTGTTCTGAAAGGCACTTTAAATAAAATGTATTATTATTATTATTATTATTATTATTATTATAGTCACTCAATGCATTTTGTGCCAAAGCAATGATAACTGATCCTCAGTTTGGCCCACATAGACTTCTGTTGTGCACACTGTATGTAGAGTTTTGCAAATGTGACCTAGGTATTGAGAAATGGGTCCTAACGTCTTTAAAAAACTGTAAAAAGAAGAGTTGATATTCACCTTCAGGGTGTTCTTCTACCCATTCAGGGACTTTCATGTCCTTGGGTTCTCTCCTTTCTGAACATGAGGGGAATAAAAAAAAAAGGTCAAGTCTTATCGGTTTCACCATCTCCCACATTTCTGATCGGTGTTCAAAGGTCAGTGCTGGCTGAAGGTTTATTAGTATCTGCTTCATATCTGATGAAAAAGCTCTCATCCAAGAAGCTGTAATAGATGTAAGAATGAGCTGCACAAGTGAGGCAAAGCAAACATGAACTTGTCTTCTTCTGGCTGCCTCCTCCCAGCAGAGGAAATCCAGAAAACCGTGCAGCCGTAACAAAAGAAAACTTCTGTTAAATGAGATGGGAATAATAAAAAGGAGGAGAAAATGTAGTGATAGCTAGAAGCATGAAGGAGGCGACTGGGGTTTTGTGGATACTCAGTGAGGAGCTATTATTTGAAGCTGCATGCACAAATAAAAAAGATGTTAATAAAATCTCACCATCACAGACGGGACAGCACTTGTTTTCAGGCTGAACGGTTCTGGAACAAGTCAACACCGGACAGATGACTGGATCACAGATCACTGTTCGCTTCTGCAGAGGAAAATGAGCATTTCAACAACAGCAGGTTTCATTCTGCTTACTCTCAGTAAACAACTTGGCTTTCCGTACCTGACAGCCGCAGGTGAAACACTTGTCATAGTTGGGAGTCCAGCGGGAGCCGTGGGCCTGGTGCTGGTTTTCAAAGAAGCATGTATGAGGATCTTTCTTTAGCTCCTCTGGGTCCTTCAGCAAAACGTCGTCAAACTCAACCTCCTCCACCTCCGCTCCAGCTCCAGCTCCAGACATGCATCTGTTTGGAACGTGGACCTGTGTCATGGAAATGTGTGGGAAAGCGGTAGATGTGTTGAGAATTAAAGCAGGATGAAAAAGACTGAAGCAGGGAAAAAGGAATTTCTTGGCAGCGCATTAGTCAAATCTGCCTCCCATGTTGACTTATTTCATGTTTACAAATGAAGCATTTCTGTCCTCCTAATTATGTTGTTAAGGTGTTTTATTAAAACAGCTGGGATCCATGAATGTGAGAGTCTAACTTTCCTTGTTTAGCCTGAAGATCAACTAATACACCTGTGAGGTTTATGAGCATCTGCATTGTGTTTGACCGCCTCCGGAGGTCAATAAAAACAACTTTTCTCTGCAGGAAAACAACAACTGCCATATAAACTACCAGGAAGATCCAGAAGGGTTCAGGTAATAATCCGATTAAAGCTCTTAACAGTCTAGTAGACGGCCCCCACTTCATACATTTATTCCTCTGAGTTGAGACTGAAGTTAAAATGTTGAGGGAAAACGTTTTTACACCATTTTCAATGCATAAACTTTTAAATGAAAACACAAAATACATTTAAATTCCTTATTTATTTGGGAACTTCCTCCAATGCTTCACAATAAGAGTCTCAGACATGCATGTGTATCTAAAGCTAATGAAATAGGTCTTATATTATGGTAAATCCCCCATCTAGGTAGTCTCAAATCTGGATCCCTCCTCCCCTGGACTGTAAACACTAACATCTAGTCTCTCCATGTAGCTAGCAGGGGGGTTATTCTCTACAGTTGTAAAGAAGTGATTTAATCAACAATTTGAATGCCTAGAACCAATTTTTTTTCTGCAAGAGAAACAACATCCCTGTTCAGTCTTCTTGAAGAAGAAAAAGGTTGGATTTTATCTTTGGCAGTTCTCAAAAACTGAACCAAAATGTGGCCATGATTTCAGACTGCTTGTTAGACATCTGCCAGTGGGTTGTCAGATGGATTACTTTTATCAAACTGGCACCATTTCAGTGTTACAACTGTGAGTACTGGTGAGTACAACCAAAATGCTAATAGCCACTAGCTGATTGATTATAATGGGGCTGCCGACTCTGACATGAGTATGTGACTCACTTCACCTGCCACACCTTCAATGGAACACTTCAAAAGTTGGCAACCATGCTATGATGTTTGGTGTGTGTGTGTGTGTGTGTGTGTGTGTGTGTGTGTGTGTGTGTGTGTGTGTGTGTGTGTGTGTGTGTGTGTGTGTGTGTGTGTGTGTGTGTGTGTGTGTGTGTGTGTTTGTGTGTGTGCATTAATGCCTTTAAACTGTTATGGAATTTAGGGTCATTTTAATTCTATAAAGTACTTTGCTTGAAAAGCGCTTTATAAATAAAATCGATTGATTGATTGATTGATTGATTGATTGATTGATTGATTGATTGATTGATTGATTGCAAATAAGTGAATCATTCATCACTCACCCGTCCTCGGATTTCTCCCTGAGGATTCATCTTGGTGCTGATCTGGAGGAAGGCTGTTCCCTGGTCCAGGTGTTGCAGCAGTTCAACACTCAGGTCCTTTAAAACGTCCTGAGCCTGAAAGACAGATGAACCCTTTAAACATCTGCATCATCACACATTCTGCTGATCAGGAGCTGTTCTAGGATGTGCGGAGCTGCTGCTGTCTTGATAGTTGGCTACAGAAATGTTTAGCTACACAGTAACTCTAAAGTTTTAATGAGAAATTTTGACTCCATGAGAAGACATTTGGTGATAATTTCTTAAAACAAATCATTCACATTAGGTTTTTGTGTTATTTTCACTCAGATCCAAAGCTTCTGTTTCTGATTAACCTTTGATCCATCCACTTACTCAAGAGAAATCTGTAAATGTGGAGGTATTAAGATTGATCCCACACAACGATCTTTAAATACATGAAGCTGAATACTGCAGAATAGTTTATGTCTGAGTACTTAGCACGTAGTACATAAGTACATAGTAATTAGAGGTCTGTAAAAGAACGTGTCACCTATGTTGTTTTATTTAGCGTTGTTCTTTCAGTCTCGTCACTGCATTGTCTTTCTCTCACAGGCGTGAAATTCACTGGCTGTTTCTTCTCTTTAAAGGTTTTTGCCTTAATCACCCACGTTACTTAAAATGTAGTGCCTTTCAGTTCCAACTGTAATCTTTGTCTAAGTCAGCAGATCTTTTTGTTGTCTCTCATTTTAGTAATGAAATCAGAAAAAATTGAATTTTGCATCGGAGCCTCTCGTTGGAAGAAAAAATGTAAATAGTCATTTATATTGTTATGTGACTTCATGTTCAACGTAGATGTTTATTACTCTTTACATTGAAGCAGCTGGGTTTTGTGGAACCAGTTGGCATAACATTTTATTTCT